GATCCCCATTCCCCACCGGGACCCTCACCCACACACCGGCACCCCTGCCCACCCCACCTTGTGTCGTCACCCTGCCCCGCCAGGTCCTTGCACTGCCCAGGAGTTGCTGCAAACCCATTAAACAGATGCTCTGGTGTTGGTACCCGAGTGGTGTTGCAGTGGGTGCCCCCTGTTACCGGCGGGGCAGGGGGACCCAGTTTTGCCAGAGCCCAGGACATGGTGCCGCAGTGCTGGAGTGGGGTGGGGGCAGAGCCCAGCCCCGGGGATGGAGTCCTCCAGCATGCTGCGGGGATGGAGGCCCCCCACCCTGGCCCCCTGCCTTTCCTGCCGCCTGATTGCGGCCAGCGCTCAGCTCGGCGGTGATTGGAAAGGCCCCAAATTGCGGCCACTTTTCCCATTAAGTGGGAAAGCAGCTCGCTCTGCTGCAGAGGCAATTTCTGGGCGGCCATAGGTGGCTGGCACGTGAGGTCCTCGGCACCCGCCTGCCTGCACTACCCGTCCCCATCTCCCCCTGCCCAGGGTCCCCCACGCTGCTGCAGGACCCCCTGTGCAGGGTGCTCCCTGCTGCGCCACCCCTCGCCCAGCTGTGCCCCTGCAGCCCCTCCCCAGGCTGGCACTGTGGTTCCTGGGCTGGCACTGGAGCTGCATTCAGGGACGGGGGCTGCGGCCCAGAGCAGAGCAGGGGGACAGAGAGGAGCCACTGCATGGCCCCTGTGCCACCACTGCAGCCCATGTTCCACGGGACCTCTGCCAGGTGCTCCCTGCTGCGCCACCCCTCGCCCAGCTGTGCCCCTGCAGCCCCTCCCCAGGCTGGCACTGTGGTTCCTGGGCTGGCACTGGAGCTGCATTCAGGGACGGGGGCTGCGGCCCAGAGCAGAGCAGGGGGACAGAGAGGAGCCACTGCATGGCCCCTGTGCCACCACTGCAGCCCATGTTCCACGGGACCTCTGCCAGTCCTGCAGAAGCTGGGGTCCCTGCACAGCTCTCACAACAGCCCCCCCCTCGCCCCCCCCCCCCCCCCCCCCCGCTGCCTTTTCTCTCCTGCACTCGTCAAGCTCTTGGAGAGGTATTTTTTTTTTTTTTTCCTGTCCCCACATGTCACCTGCATTACCTTCGGGAGCTGACAACTCCCCGTCACGTCAGCAGCAGCACCAGCTCCCAGGTGGGCCCTGGAGCATCTATGTGGTTTGTCGTGCACGGGGGGCATGTGCAGGCACATGTGCCAGGGCACTTGGGCAGCATGTGCGCGTGGGGGGGGGGCATGTGTGTGTGCGTGGAGGCACTTGACGGTGCAGACATGCCCCGGCTCCAATGCCAATGGCCAATGGCTCCCTGCAGCCTTCAGGCTGTGTTGTGTCATGTCCCAGCACAGGGACCTTCCCGCCTGTGCACGGCGAGGGGTGAAAGCTGTAAACAAGCCCGCCACAGCCCGGGGCACCACAGCTCTTCGCGGCTGCGTCGCACTTGGCACTACACAAGTAGGTGTTATTAATTAATTATGCCGTCTCTGGCCAGGCTCCGATTTAATTAACGTCCCCAGCACTGCAGATGCTGCCCTGCCCCGGGCTGCGCTGCCACGTAAGCCACTGCTGCCGGACTGCCTTCCCGTGGGGCTGTCGCAGCCGCCTGTTGCTCGGGCTGAAGTCGGTGGCTCTCACTTGTTGGCCTGCATGTTCCCCCTTCCCTCACGTCCCTCCGGTTCCCCCCAACTTTTCCTCCCCATCTTCCATCTCTGCACACCCCAGCCCCCTGGCTGAGGTGGGGGAGCGGAGGCACTTGGGGTGGCTGGGGGCGGGGAGGGGCTGGTGCTGGTGGTGCTGGCCCTGTCTGGTTCACAGAGGGGTCTGGGGAAAGGCAGACCCATGTGGGGCCAGACCCGGGGCTGCCGGGGCCCGTCAGAGCCGGGAGTGCTCCCCACAGGCAGCACAGGACCAGGCAGGCCGGGAACCCCAGAGTGGGGCTGGGAGAGATGGGCAGGGTGTAGGGTACAGAGAGAGTGTGTGTGTGTTTCTGTGTGCACGTGTGTGTTTGTGTGTGCAGTTGAGTCATATGTGTGTGCAGATGAGTGCGTGTGTGCATGCACGTGCATCGTGTGTGTGGCGGGAGCCCGGCTGATCCCTGCTGTGGTGTGAGACCTCCCAAAGCCCGGTTGCAGAGCAACTGCCAGCAGCTGTGCCAGCATGGCAGGGAGAGGACCGCTCTCACCGTGTGTGTGCCCGCATGTGCCGATGGCTGCGTCGTGCTCAGGTGCGTGTGTCCTCCCATGCCTGCAGCGCGAGGAGGGGCCGGGGGCTGCGTGGGCATGGTGCCTGTGTGCTGGCCCCCTACCACAGGGCGCTGTGGTGCGGTGGGGAGCTGGCGTGCCTGCGTGGGCGCGCTTATGTCGCGGTGTGACTCTGTGTGTGTAACGGGTGCCTGTCGGTGACACGGTGCCTGCGTGGGCGTGAAGCTGCAGGGTGGGGGTACCACCCCCCCAGCCCCAATTGGCGGCTCTCCTCTCACCCACCCACACCATGCCATGGGCAGAGCCCCTTATTTAACTCCGCAGAGCAGCCAGCACCCTGGTACTTCGCCTCCCAGCTGAGCCCGCGCTGGGAGAGCCGTCGGCGCAGCCTGCAGCCACTGCCCACCTCGCCTCACTGCGTCTCCCACTCCACAGCTGCCAGCGGCAAGGGACGCTCTGCCCCCGGCTCTGCACCAGACAACAACTGAGGGGTCAGCAGGTCTGTGCCCCCGCAGCACCCTGCCCTGGGGGCTTCCCGGGGTTCCTGGGGGGCTGCTGTGTCCTATCCTCACCTGGCTCAGGCTGGGAGAAGGGAGGAGGGGGAAGTTGGTGACAGCTGCGGGGGAGGGCACGGGCCGGGAGGAGAGATGGGGCAAAGATGCCGCTTGAATTCGGGGAGGGCTTGAGGGGGGCTCTGGAAGCAAGTCTGGGTCTGGGATCTGGCTGTCAGCAAGCGTGTGTGTGCCAGTACATGTGTCAGGGGACGTGTGTGTGTGTGCCAGTGCATGTGTCAGGGGAATGCGTGTGTGGGCTAACATGGGTGAACATGCAGGACTGAGTCCGAGCCCATGTTTATGATCTCTGTATGCCCACGCTCGGTCTTGTGTGCGTGTTTGCACAGTACAGCTGATGTGTGACTGCACAAACACGGCACCACGGGCACAAGTGGTGGCACGGGAGCCCTGGGGCTGCAGCAGAGCCATGTCCCCCTGCACCCCCCCTGCACCTCTGTGATGCATCCCCCATAACGTGTCCCACCCTGCACCCCTGTAAGGCAGCCCCTGGGCTGCACCCTGTAAGGCAGCCCCTGGGCTGCAGCCCCCG